CCGGTACGGTGGACGGTCCCGCGGGGGACCTGTTGTTGTTCATGCCACAAAAGATTATTCCGTCTGGGTTGCAGCAAGGCAGGGACAAGGGCTGCCACCAAGGTGGTGTATTTTTTCATTGGCTGACGTCTCCTGGGGTTCTTATCCTTTCCTCAACCCTGGCCTAAGCTGGTACTCCCCTCTGTGTTAGCCAGGTGGTCTCGAACTCCTGACCTCATGATCTGCCTACCTCGGCCTCCCAAAGTGCTGGGATTACAGGCGTGAGCCACCGCGCCCGGCCTGCTCCAGCAACTTAAGCCTATTAATTTCGAAAGAGCCAAGGATGCAAAAGGCAGTTGTAGTTATTTTCTTCTGCCCACCTTTCCCTGGAAACAGAGGCCTCCATCACAGTTTTTGTTGTTGTTTTTCTTTTCGTTATTTAGGCTTACCCAGGCCTATGTCACGATCTTCATTCCAGCTCTTCCTGTAAGTGCTTAAGGGCCAAGAGGTTCTCTTCTTGGGGTCCGTGGGTGAAAGGTAGCCGCCATATCTGTGAGCTCAGTGCATTGGCTCAGTCTTAGATGATTCTTATCTGTGCTGTTGGTGCTCATCAAGGAAGCCTGTTTTTATTTATGCCTGTTAAGGACACAACAGATGTTTGTCTCAAGGAACACCAAGATTGAGGCTACTCCAGGAGGTCCGGAGTAGCTGGAGAGACCTCCAGAATCATCCATAGTGAAGAGTGCAAACTTTTATTGTAAACAAGGGCAAAGTCTCACCCATCTGAGAACCCCTGAGGGTGTCACTTAGAACCTTTAGACTTTTTTTGGTCTGCTGAGTTTGACCACACAGAACCGGTAAGCATGGGTTAATGTTTGACACAGTAGTGTGTGGTCAATGAACAATGAGAGCTAAGTGGTTTTTTTGTTTGTTTGTTTGGTGTTTTGGAGACAGGGTCTCATTGCTGTCACCCAGGCTGAAGTGCAGGGACATTGTGACATTGTCATAGCTCACTGCACCCTTGACCTCAAGCCATCATCCTGTCTCAGCCTCCTGAGTAGCTGGAACTACAAGCACAAGTCACCACACTTGGCTAATTTTTTAGTTTTTCTAGAGACAAGGTCTTGCTTTTTTTTTTTTTTTTTTTTTAAGCTAGGGTGTCACTCTGTTGCCCAGGCCGAAGTGCAGTGGCACAATCTTCACTCATTGCAACCTCTGCCTCCCGGGCTCAAGTGATCCTCCCACCTCAGCCTCCCGATTAGCTGGTACTGCAGGTGCACACCACCATACCCAGCTAATTTTTGTATTTTTTGTAGAGACAGCATTTTACCATGTTTCCCAGGCTGGTCTCGAACTCCTGGGTTCAAGCGATCCGTCTGCCTTGGCCTCCCACAGTGTTGGGTTGCATGTGTGAGCCACCACGCCTGGCCTGAGAGCTAAGTGTTTGTTATTCAGCTGGAGACGGTAGCTGAATTAGTCTGCGGGGGCTTCCATAATATAATACCACACACTAGGGGGCCTAAACAACAGAAGTTTATTTTCTTACAGTTCAGGAAGCTGGAAGTCCAAGGTCAAAGTGCAGCAGGGTTGGTGTCCTCTGCGGCCTCTCTCCTTGGCCTGCAGACGGCCACCCTCTGCAGGTTGTCCCCTATGCATTCATACCCTGGTGTCTCCTGTCTTTTTTTTTTTTTTTTGAGACGGAGTCTCGCTCTGCTGCCCAGGCTGGAGTGCAGTGGCCGGATCTCAGCTCACTGCAAGCTCCGCCTCCCAGGTTCATGCCATTCTCCTGCCTCAGCCTCCCGAGTAGCTGGGACTACAGGCGCCCGCCACCTCGCCCGGCTAGTTTTTTGTATTTTTTAGTAGAGACGGGGTTTCACCGTGTCAGCCAGGATGGTCTCGATCTCCTGACCTCGTGATCCGCCCGTCTCGGCCTCCCAAAGTGCTGGGATTACAGGCTTGAGCCACCGCGCCCGGCCTCCTGTCTTCTTATGAGGACACCAGTCCTATTGGATTAGGGCCCCACCCTAATGACCTCATATTAATTTTATCTCCCTTTGAGGACCTCCAGTTAGTCACACTGGGGACTAGGGCTTCAATATACGGATCTAGGGACACCATTTGCCCTCAGAATTGACAGTGTGCTCACTTATTTATCCTGAAACCTTGTAAATGTAACAATCTTTCATGATTCCACCACATAGGACCAGTCTATATGGAGGTGCCCATCTGGAGTGTGCCCAGGGCCTCCTCTCCATGCCAGTGTCCCCAGAAGAGTCCTGGCCATTCACCCAGGGAAACTGCACCTCCTTTTGCCAGACAGAGGGAATATGCTTGGGGCATATTCACCCATAAAGGAGATGTGGGAAGTCCCCGGGCCATAACCCCTGGCCCCAGCCCTGTCCTGAGACGGCAGCCTCTGTGGCTCCATGCAGCCGAGCCTTGGCTGTGGCTCCCAGCTCCCTGCCGTGTGACCCTCACTGCTGTGTGGCAAGGCTGAAACATTAACATTCATCTCTCTTGTTCTCTTGTAGGCAACCTTTCTTTATATGCTACAAGTTAAATATTTGCTCAACCAGGTAATACTGACTGTTCTCTTCCTTTGGGAGGCTAATGGGAGTTTGTACCTTTCTGGGAGTGGGGGTCCTGAAGATACTCCAGGACCAGGGACACCAGGGTGGAGGGAGCTCACCGCTGGGAGCCACTGAAAGGTATTTTTTCATTGTTGTGCACACACGACTCGGATGTCAGAGGTTTGTTAAGTGATATCCAGGAAAGAACATATTATATTTGGCTCTGGAAAACTTATCCAATTTCCACTTGGAAATATTGTCATTGGCAGGGTGGGCTCAGAGCCGCAGTGTTCCTTGGCTCTGCATTTTAACCAGTGTCCTGGAAAGAAGGGTGCATGCCTGTTTGCTCCCGAGACAGAGTGCAGGCTGGGGGCGGCTCGTCTGGCAGAGAGGGAACCCGCCTGTCTGCTCTGTGCTATCTGAATGTCCCCACTTTTCTCAGCGAGGATATAAGAGCTCAAACTCTCAAGACACCTAACGTCAGCCAGAACTCCTCCTATGTGATTAAACAGTCACGGCCAAAGGCCCTGGCTTGGAAGGGGTAGATTTATGAAATCAGCATATGTGGGACTCGCCACATTCTTCCAGATAAGTCCAGGTAAACGGGGGTACCCGGCAATGGATCCCGGCCGCGCTGGTGGGCTCTCCAGGGATATGCAACAGGGGGGGCCAGGACGGGAGGAGGAAGAAAGGAAGTTTCCCACCTATGCAGTGTTCTTAAAGTTAAGATATTACCCTATTTTAAAAAAAATGTTTTTAAAGGAAATATGGGGTCTTGCTATGTTGCCCAGGCTGGTTTCAAATTCCTGGCCTCAAGAAATCCTCCTGCCTCAGTCTCCCAAAGTGCTGGGATTACAGGTGTGAGCCACTGCCTCCGGCCAGGATATTACTCTATCAACAAAACAAGAATATTTAGAATCCCTATTAGTATTTAGAATGACATCTCCGAAATAGGTGTAGACTAGAGAGAAGGAAACCCACACATCTCATCCGGCTCTGAGCTGTCTCCTTTTGATCTAGACCCTTGCTAAGGCAGCACGGATACCTTAACACGCTGCAAGGCCTTCTCCCGGACTCAGTCCCCCAACAACTGCGGTGGCCCTAACCTCAGGGTCTCATGTGACCTACTAGGGACAGTGAGTGTGAAAGTGTTCTCTCCTGTTCTCTGGGGCACAGGGAAAGGCCTGGAAGTAGGAGCCACGAGCTGAGAGGGGTTGGGAGCTTTGAATTTGGTGACAGAGGACACGTGGGGTTTCCAAGGTCAGGAAGGAAGGCAGAGCATCCCAGACAGAGGGGATGCCTGTTTCTAGGGGCTGGGGCCCGCAGGGTCTCGTTAGGCCACTGCGGTGGGAGGGGACGCAGTGAGATGATGGCATCGAGAGGCGGGCTGGCCCAAGGCCAGGCTTTGTGTTTTCTGCTGGGGCATTTAGTTTTGGGAAATTAACTAATTGGGAGAGAAAGAGGTGAGAGTTACGGACATGGTCCAAACAAATGATGGTGAAGGTCTCTGATGAAGAGTTTGCGTTGTGGGAGCAGTGGGAGATAGGATGATGGGTGGGTTCTATAAAAATGGCAGGGGCTGTCGGGCCCCCAGGGTGGAAGGAGTTTCTGCCCTGGGCCCTTCCCTAGGAAGACAGGGTGACCATTCGCTGAGCGTAGCACCGAAGAGAAGCAGCTGGGAGTTTGGAGAAAGTGAATGCTCTCGGAGAGGGCGGAGGGTGGGAAGAGAGCCAGATGGTACTAGGGGGAAGACAGACTTTGAAGTAGGAGAGTCAAGAGGGCCTTGGAGGAGAAGGTCACTCCACTCGGCGTGGAGACGCATGCGTATTGCAGGCTTGGCCGCCTCCTCTCGTCCTCCCACGAGCCTGCTCTTCTGCCTTCTTCCATTCCATTGCAATGGATGGAATTGCATGGCCTCCCCATTTTCACTCCCAGTAACCTGTCCTTTTGGTCCCTGTCACATCCTCGACTCCATCTTTCCTTCCCTCCCACATCTGGTCAGTCACCTGGTCCTTTAGCTTCTGCCTGCTCCTTCCAATTCTCAGTGCCACCACCTGAATTCATTTCTTTCTTTTTCTTTTCTTTTCTTTTTTTTGAGACAGAGTCTCACTCTGTTGCCCAGGCTGGAGTGCAGTGACGTGATCTCGGCTCACTGCAACCTCCACCTTCCAGGTTCAAGTGATTCTCCTGCCTCAGCCTCCCAAGTAGCTGGGACTACAGGCGTGTGCCACCATGCCCAGCTAGTTTTTGTATTTTTAGTAGAGACGGGGTTTCACCATGTTGGCCAGGCTGGTCTCAAACTCCTGACCTCAGGTGATCCGCCCACCTTGGCCTCCCAAAGTGCTGGGATTACAGGCGTGACCCACCGTGCCCAGCCCTGAATTCATTTCTTGTCATCTGTCCTCTGTGTCATTTCAGAGGACCTTAACCTGTCTCCATCCGCTGCTGTCTGCCTGAAAAGTAAATCTGATCACTAATTCCCTTTGTAAAAACTAACCAGGGCCTCCCCATAAATATGTGGCCTACACAAGTCATCGGCCAAGACCATTGTCTTGGCCCCACCAGCCTGAGACCACCAGAGACAGGCCTGCAGGCCAGTGGGTTTGCAGTTGGATTTATCAACCTGTGGCAATGAGAGAGACTAGAGGGGCCGGTGGATGCCTCACTAAAGGAAGAAAAGTTATTATAAAGGTTTGAAGAAGGATGGGGCTCAGGTGACATTATTAAACATATCGAAACCACGGTTTGATAGGCACCGAGCAGATCTGTGAGTGAGGGGCCCAACACCAGGTCTGGGCTGTGACATGGACCCGGTGCTCCTCCTTTGGAAACTCAAGGCTAAGCAGGATGTTGAGGGTGGACAGATGTAGAATGCCACATCCAGGAGCTCCCACGAAGCTCTGTGCCTGGGTTCAAATTGAGACTACTTTTTTGTGTTAAAGTGATTTTGAGCCTGCAGTTAAGAGTGGGGTGTTTTCTTTTTACTGATACAATTTCTTTTTTTTTTTTTTTTTTTTTTGAGACGGAGTCTTGCTCTGTCGCCCAGGCTGGAGCGCAGTGACCGGATCTCGGCTCACTGCAAGCTCCGCCTCCCGGGTTTACGCCATTCTCCTGCCTCAGCCTCCCAAGTAGCTGGGACTACAGGCGTGTGCCACCATGCCCAGCTAGTTTTTGTATTTTTAGTAGAGACGAGGTTTCACCGTGTTAGCCAGGATGGTCTCGATCTCCTGACCTCGTGATCCGCCCGTCTCGGCCTCCCAAAGTGCTGGGATTACAGGCTTGAGCCACCGCGCCCGGCCTACTGATACAATTTCAAACAGCAGTGTTTCCGAACAGTGTGATTTTAGAGAACAAAGTTTCTCAATGAGTCAGAAAGCACTCGTCATTCTACTAGGAGAGTAATGACACTTTATGGGGACAGCGTGACCTTGGGAGAAAGGTTTCCTGTTACGTTTGCACTGACTTTATTTGCATCTGCTATTCTAGCCGGATGCGGAGCAGAACAGAGTTTTACTTCCTCGGTCTGATGTAATGTTACTTTCACGCCCTGTCTTACTTTGACACACCAAATAGTCTGGATGTTTCTCCGGTCCTGTACTTTTGAGAGTTAGATATGTTGGAATCCCTTCCGTATTCTAGAAAGGAACTCTAGTTTCTTCAAGACCTTAGGTCAATTTTTTTTGAATTTCTAAGTTGGTCAAGAAAGTATTCTCATTTTCTCCTATCGTCCGGTGTCAAAGATGGCTTGTTGACCCATTTAGCCGCTGCCAGTCCTTGCAATGTTGGAAATAAGCCATTTATCTTCTTCCTTCTCTGCTGCTGAACGTACCTTGCCTGTGTCTCTCTGTGGCCAGAACGCCGCACTTCATACCTCAAAGAGAGAAGGAAGAGAAAGGGATGGGAGAGTGGAAGGGCAGGAGCAACCAGGACGTGGCCTCTCCTAAGTTAAGACCCCCTGCTCTGCCCGTGACACCCACTGAGCAGGCCAGCTGGAGCCTGTGTGCATGGGGAGCAGAAAGGCAGTCCTATTCTGTGGATCTCATGGATGGCATATGCGGTGTCCTTGTTCCAGGGAATTCTCCTGCCCCAGATCGTAACTGGAGTTGCAGCCAACCTTGTCAATGCCCTCGCCAACTATCTGTTTCTCCATCAGCTGCATCTTGGGGTGATGTGAGTCCAATGTACTCTTGGGACAGGGACAAGGGATGACTTGCATGTGGCTTTTCCAGGAGGGAGAAGAGTGGGCTCTTCAGCTGGTTCTCGTGTTCACACGTGGTCTCTTTCTTGCGCACCGTGGAAAGCACTGTCAGGGATGGAGGGTGAGGCTGCTCTGGGAAGAAGACCTTGGTCTGCTGAGGACGGCACGGGAAGGGATGAGTCTCCCCTCCTCACCCAGTGGGGCAGGGAGAGGCGCAGGAAGGTACCTGCCCTCTCACTGGGACTGTTCTTTCCAGAGGCTCTGCAGTGGCAAATTTGATTTCCCAGTACACCCTGGCTCTACTCCTCTTTTTCTACATCCTTGGGAAAAAACTGCATCAAGCTACATGGGGAGGTAACGACTGCCCTTTTGTCTTCCAACTGGGACATGGGTTTTGTCTCGGGTTGAATTCCAGCCCGATGGCCAGATCTCCTGGAAATGTGTGTGTCCCGCCCACAGGTTGGTCCCTCGAGTGCCTGCAGGACTGGGCCTCCTTCCTCCGCCTGGCCATCCCCAGCATGCTCATGCTATGCATGGAGTGGTGGGCCTATGAGGTCGGGAGCTTCCTCAGCGGTCTGTATGAGGACGGATGACGGGGACTGGTGGGAACCCGGGGGCCCTGTCTGGGTGCAAGGCGACAGCTGTCTCTTTTCACCAGGCATCCTCGGCATGGTGGAGCTGGGCGCTCAGTCCATCGTGTATGAACTGGCCATCGTTGTGTACATGGTAAGCAGGGGAGCCGGTCGTGGGGAGGTGCCAGGCGTTTTCCTTGCTGGGTATCTGAAAACGTCCATGGATGAGCATAGGCTTTCGTACATGAATCATTTGTGAAATGATGAACAAAAGTCAAATCCCATCCTTGAGCCTGGGAGGGTACCTCTGCTACAGCTGGATCTTCCCTGGGAGCTGAAGCGGGGCTGGAGAGAAACTGCACGTGATCTGCTGGTTCTCCATCTCCTAACGCAGCTCCCAGCTGAATCTTCCCTTGAAAGATTTGAGTTTGTTTCCATACTTTTAGAATCTTTTTCAGTTGTTGCCGGGCGCGGTGGCTCAAGCCTGTAATCCCAGCACTTTGGGAGGCCGAGACGGGCGGATCACGAGGTCAGGAGATCGAGACCATCCTGGCATGGTGAAACCCCGTCTCTACTAAAAAACACAAAAAACTAGCCGGGCGAGGTGGCGGGCGCCTGTAGTCCCAGCTACTCGGGAGGCTGAGGCAGGAGAATGGCGTAAACCCGGGAGGCGGAGCTTGCAGTGAGCTGAGATCCGGCCACTGCACTCCAGCCTGGGGGACAGAGCGAGACTCCGTCTCAAAAAAAAAAAAGAATCTTTTTCAGTTGTCACAGCACAAATACCTTGAGGGGCCAGGTGGGTGGCATAGCAGAGGGATGAGGCTGGGTGTATGGCCATAAACATCAAGCTGCCTGTGTCACTGTGCCTGTTCCTGCCTGGTTCAGAAGCCTCTGAAAACACAGTGTGGCTACTCCTAGGTAGCTCCCCAAAACAACTGAAAGCAGGGTCTTAAAGGGATTGTTTTTTTTTGAGACGGAGTCCCACTCTTGTTGCCTTGGCTGGAGTGCAATGGCGTGATTTCGGCTCACTGCAACCTCCGCCTCCTGGGTTCAAGCATTTCTTCTGCCTCGGCCTCCCAAGTAGCTGAGATTACAGGTGCCTGCCACCACGCCCAGCTACTTTTGTATTTTTAGTAGAGACAGGGTTTCACCGTGTTGGTCAGGCTGGTCTTGAACTTGTGACCTCAGGCGATCCACCCGCCTCGGCCTCCCAAAGTGTTGGGATTTACAGGCGTGAGCCACCGCACCCGACTTAAGGGGGTGTTTGTTAACTGTGTTCACAGGAGCATTATTGACAGTAGACAAAAGGTGGAAGCAACCTATGTGTCTGCGGGTAAACAAAATGGGTTCTTTGCATACTGTGGAGTATGATTCAGCCTTAAAGGGGAGGAAATTTTGATCATAGAGAACACCAGTCGTTAGGAGGCTTTTCTTTGACTTTATTTTCCTGAAAACATCAGCTGGAGATTCTGAAGGAAGCAAGTGCCATTTTAGAAATGTAAAATTAGAAAACAGAAAGGGAGTTTGTAATGTGGGGAGAAACTCAAGCCAGCAGATGTGCTTGGCACTTTTTGCAGTATTAACACTTAGATTTTTTTCCCTCTGATATTGGTTATGTTTTAAAAGTACATAGAGTACACATTTCCCGTTTTCTTTAAGAATTATTCTCTTGCAGACCTGTTTTTTGTTTTGTTCTTCTATCCTTGGCAGTTTTTTAACACAGACTTTTTACTTCACTTTTAGTATTTTATTTACATTTTATGTTTGAGTAAATTCATTAACTAATTCTAAGTCAAAATGCTTAATGGTACATAGGATTCCACTATATGTGATATACTTTTAAAATCAATTTCCTATGGTTGAACAGTTTATTTCCAATGTTTCAATATTAACAACTCTTCAAGGAACATCCTAGGACAAATATCTTCATACACTTGTCTGATTATTTCTTTAAGATTTGTAAAAGAGAAACAAAGGCACGATTTTATGTCTTTTGAATATGTTTTCATATGCTTTCCAATAGGCTTGTAAGAATTTACACTTACATTTCTTCTCAATCAAAAGAAAGATGTATGCCCTTTCCTCAGGTTCACCAGTTTTGCCACATTTATTCTGTCTGGTCTATCTACATAGTCCATGTTCAAATAAAATATCAATACAGTCAATTCAAAACAATACCAATTGTTCTGGTAATGTCCCTTATCACTTATTTTCCCCTAGCATCTTTAGTATCCTTTAATCTGGAACAGATCTTCATTGTTCCATTGTCTTTCTTGACCTTGGCATTTTTGAAGAACATAGGCCATTATCTGTAGAAGTTCACTCAGTGTAGTGCAGCTGATGTTTCCTTATAAATAAATTTAGATTGTCCGTTTTGGGCAGGAAAGCTAGAGAAGTGATGCTGGTCCTCCGTAGTGCACCGTATCAGGAGACACATAATGTTGATCTCTCTCAGTGTTGGTGATACTACCTTTTTACTTGGTGGTGGTTTTTTTTTGTTTTTGTTTTTTTCTTGAGACAGCATCTTGCTCTGTCACCCAGGCTGGTGACAGTAGCCTGATCTTGGCTTACTACAGTCCGACCTCCTGGGCTCAAGCAATCCTCCCACTTCAGCCTCCTGAGTAGCTGAGACTACAGGCATGCACCACCACTCCCAGCTAATTTTTTAAAACAATTTGGTCTTGTTATGTTGCATAGGCTGGTCTCAAACTCCTGGGCTCAAGCAATCCTTCCAACTTGGCCTTCCAAAGTGCTGGGATTACAGGCACAGCCATTGCACCCTGCCAGTATTAACTTTGATTGCTTGGTTAAGGTGGTGCCTGCCAGGTTTCTCCTGTCAAGTTACTGCCTTTCCCTTTGTAATGAATAAATAATTTGTCAGGTGATCTCTGTGTTTGTCCCTGCTTATGAATTTATAGGCAGAGACTCAGTCTTCCATTACTTTTTTATTCCTCAATCTGTGTATCAGATTTTCTTTAAGCTGGTCCTTAGTCATCCTGATCCTAAGGCAATGTTCATGTTTCAACAAGTGATGACTCCTTTTTCCTTATTAATATTAATTTTTCAAGTGGTAACTTTATATATAAATAATAGTAATGGTAAATCTTTATTGAGCAATTCCTACATGCTGCTTCTAAGCAGTTAGGCGTGTATGGACTCATTAAGTTCCCACAATAGCCCAAGGAGATAGGTTCTATGATTAAACTCCTTTTTTATTTTATTTTATTTTTTGAGATAGAGTCTCGCTCTGTCACCCAGGCTGGAGTGCAGTGGCGCGATCTCGGCTCCCTGCAAGCTCCACCTCCTGGGTTCACGCCATTCTCCTGCCTCAGCCTCCCGAGTAGCTGGGACTACAGGCGCCCGCCACCACGCCCGGCTACTTTTTTTATATTTTTTAGTAGAGATGGGGTTTCACCCTGTTAGCCAGGATGGTCTCAATCTCCTGATCTTGTGATCCACCCCACCTCGGCCTCCCAAAGTACTGGGATTACAGGCATGAGCCACCGCGCCTGGCCGATTCAACTCCTTTTACAGATAAAACAAAACTCTGGAGGTTTAGAGAGGGTAAGTAACTTGCTCAGGGTGATGCAGCTGATAAAAGTGGTTATGCTGGGATTTGAACCCAAGCCATAGCCATCTGGCTTCAGAATTGTGATCCCTAACCACAATGCAGGGTTTCTTCCCTGCAGTTCCTTTAGTGCCACTCCTGTCTTGTAAACTGGATCCCTTGATAGTCTTTCAGAATAGACACTGTGCCTTTTGTGGTGGCACATGCCTGTCATCCCAGCTAGTTGAGAGGTTGAGGTTGCAGGATCATTTGAGCCCAGGAGGTCGAGGCTGTAGTGAGCTATGACTGTGCCGCTGCACTCCAGCCTGAGGGACACAATGAGACCCTGTCCCTATTTGATTTTATTTATTTAGAGATGGAGTTTCACTCTGTCACCCAGGCTGGAGTGTAGTGGCACTATCGTGGCTCACTGCAACCTCCGCCTCCCGGGTTCAAGCGATTCTCCTGCCTCAGCCTGCTGAGTAGCTGGGATTACAGGCGTGCGCCACCACGCCCAGCTAAGTTTTGTATTTTTTAATAGAGACAGGGTTTCACCATGTTGGCCAGGCTGGTCTCAAACTCCTGACCACAAGTGATCCGTCCGCCTCGGCCACCCAAAATGCTGGGATTACAGGCATGAGCCACCGCGCCTGGCCTCTGTCCTATTAAAAAACAAACCAACAACAACAACAACAATAAAAAAACACAAACCTGGGCTCCCGGTGAGTCAGTCCATCTCCCACACCCAGAGGAGGAACATGGTTGTGCAGCACCTTCGTGTTGTAGAGGTTGGAAGCTCTGCAGCAAAGCCCAGTTTGTGCTAAGCATCCTAACCTGGGGTTCGGTTTCCACAGTAGCATGGGAGCTCCCAGCTAGACAGAGGGGATGTTGCAAATCAGTCTTTTCAAAACTTTTAGGACCAAGTTTTCCCACCAGGTGTGAGACTTGAGGCTGCTTCTGTGCACGTGTTCTCACTCTGCAGATTCGTTGTTGCAGGTTTCCTTTTCATTTTAGGTCCCTGCAGGCTTCAGCGTGGCTGCCAGCGTCCGGGTAGGAAACGCTCTGGGTGCTGGAGACATGGAGCAGGCACGGAAGTCCTCCACCGTTTCCCTACTAATCACAGGTGCTGAGACCCCTTTACCCGAGGCTCATGGTGCAGTCTCTCCATGCAAAGCCCAGGCTCCCCCACTTCCTGTGGATCTTCTTGCTCACCGTGTTGTTTCTTCTGCCGTTTTTACCCTCAGTGCTCTTTGCTGTAGCCTTCAGTGTCCTGCTGTTAAGCTGTAAGGATCTTGTGGGCTACATTTTCACTACCGACCGGTGAGTGCTAGGATTTTCTTGAAATGTGAAATCTGTGATAAAGAAATGGTTCATTGAGAAATTTTGTTCTCTAAAATCAGGCTGTTCAGAAACATTGCTGTTTGAAATCATTATCAGTAAAAAGAAAACATCCCACTCACGCCTGTAATCCCAGCACTTTGGGATCACCTGAGGTCAGGAGTTCGAGGCCAGCCCGGCCAACATGGCGAAACCCCATCTCTACTAAAAATACAAAAATTAGCCGGGTGTGGTGGCAGACACCTGTAATCCCAGCTACTTGGGAGGCTGAGGCTGGAGAATCGCTTAAGCCCACCAGGAGGCAGAGGTTGCAGTGAGCCGAGATTGTGCCACTGCACTCCAGCCTGGGCAACAGAGCAAGACTCTGTCTCAAAAAAAAAAAAAAAAAAAAAAAAAGAAATGTTTCCTCCAAGAGCAAGGTGCCAGCAGAAAAAGTTTTTTAAAACTGGGAATGTTTTTTAAAAAGAGGCCAGGCACAGTGGTTCACGCCTGTAATCCTTGCACTTTGGAAGGTCAAGGTGGGCAGATCACCTGAGGTCAGGAGTTCGAGACTAGCCTGGGCAACATGGTGAAACCCCCATCTCCAATAAAAATACAAAAATTAGCTGTGCATGGTGGCACGCGCCTGTAATCCCAGCTACTTGGGAGGCTGAGGCAGGAGAATCAGTGGAACCTGGGAGGCGGAGGTTGCAGTGAGCTGAGATCATGCCACTGCACTCCAGCCTAGGTGACAAGAGTGAGACTCCATCTCAAAAATTTAAAAAAGAAATGGTTAACTTGGATAGATGCTATCAGAGAGGGGCCACCTGTGATTGTTGCAGCAGGGATGTCTGAATCATTTGCAAGGTCAGAGGCTGCACTGATGTTACTTGGGAAGAACATACTAGATGTAGGAACTGATTTATAATCTACAATGCCAACTTAATGGGCATTGGTGATGATTTTATACTTCTGCTGGTCATGTATTTTAAAAGTGGAAAGCCCTTTTTAGTACGATGAATTACATTTTCAGTTAATTATTTTGTTTCCAATGATAAGAATCCTCTTGGTTTCTTAGTATCATCCAAACTGCCCGGTTTGTAGTAGTTGCCTAATATGTTTGTCCAACTGAATTGAAGTTAAAATCTCACCAGTGAGCTATCGCAAAAGTCACATACTCAGATTGATTACTGAAGAATTCTCAGATAAGTCCCTTCTGCTCTGCAGAATTTGTTTCCTTCATCAGTGATGCTAGTGTGTACATTCGGATTTTGTAGAAACTTTATGGGGATACTTCTTATTTGGGACACCTTTGTCAGCAGTTACAAGATGCAAATGAACTTTGCCTTCCTGGATTCAGAACGCTGGTGGAGTGGACGGAACTAATTTCATGGTTTATTCTTCACACATTTGACTTTTGACTTCAGATCGTTGGTTTTCATTTTTCAGCTTCAGCTATTTTGTTACGGGGAAATAAGATGTTTAGGCCAGGCATGGTGGCTCACTCCTGTAATCCCAACACTTTAGGAGCAGAGGGGATGGATTGCTTGAGTTCAGGAGTTCAAGACCAGCTGTCAAACATGGGGAAACCCTGTCTCTTACTAAAAATACAAAAAAAAAAAAAAAAATTACCAGGTCGTGGTGAGGCACACCTGCAATCCCAGCCTACTCAGGAGGCGGAGGCAGGAAATCACTTGAACCTGGGAGGCGGAGGGTGGCAGTGGAGCTGAGATTGCACCACTGCGCTCCAGGCCTGGGCAACAAAGAAGTGAGACTCTGTCTCAAACAAACAAACAAATAAAAAGATGTTTATAGCTCCCTCACTCAGAATGAATGGGGTAGGTGACGGTAAGTAGTTGGCTTTTTTTCACAAAGGGAATCAGGATGACCTTTATGAGGACCAGGATAAACAGATGGTTTCAGAAGGAATATGGTAGACACTGGACTCTGAATCTGTCCACTTGGGAAACCATAGAGCGCAGGAAAAGAATGAAAAACAAGAGGCCCACAAGCTATAGAACTGACGAGACAAGGAAACATCAGAAACTCAACAATCAAATTACTTGGAAGGTGACCAGGATCTGACCCAATCTGGTACAATCGGTGAAAGAGCTCAACCTCTACCTAACTTAATCACAGGGGGCGGGAAACGACACCTCTAACAAAGAAAGGGGGACGTTACTACTGACCACGATCGTTTTTTAAAAATCCTAAGAGACTACTTTGCATGACTTTTTCCAAGGAAATCTAAAAACCTGGAATAAACAGATAATGTTCCAGAGAAATAATTGATCAGGATATACCCTAGAAAAGATAGAAGGTCTAAATAAACTGATTTCCTGGTAAGAAATAAGAGAAAGCTATTTTAAAATGTCAAAAAGCACAATGCCAGAAGGTTCCAAAGGATGATTTTATCAAATCTTCAAAACATAGGGAATTGCAAACACAGATCAAACAGAATTTCCCAGAGCACAGGAAAAGAAAAACTTCGCATTCTGTTTATGAAGCAAATATAACATTGGTGCCAAAATCTGCGAAAGTTTGCACATAAAAAAGAAAATCACAGATCATTCTTATGTATGAATACCAATCTAAAAATCCAAAATAAAAATATAATTAGACAGAATTTAGCAGCACATTGAAAAGAATATATTTTGGTGAAATATAAAAGTGAATATAGGCCAGGCGCAGTGGCTCATGCCTGTAATCCCAACACTTTGGGAGACTGAGGCAAAAGGATCACTTGAGCCCAGGAGTTCGAGACCAGCCTGGACAACATGGTGAAACCCCATCTCTACAAAAAATAAAATTTAGCTGGGCATGGTGGTGTGCACCTGTAGTCCTAGCTACTCAAGAGGCTGAGGTGGGAGGATCACTTGAGCCTGAGAGGTTGAGGTTGCAGTGAGCCATGACTGTACTACTCCACTCCAGCCTGGGTGACAGTGAGACCCTGTCTCAAAAAAAAAAGTGAATATAATATCTCAGGAAAAAGCAAGGTGCCAAACATCATATAGAGAATGCTGCATGTGAAATGATAGAATATAGAAAGGAAAATTAAGAATATACATTTGTATTTGCTTATATTTTCATAGACACTAGACAAACATGGAACGTGCTAAGAATTGTTACCTGGAGGAGGCAGGGCTGGTACTGGGGCAAACTGGAAGGGCATTGCAGTCGTAAGACTTTGCTTACTATCTTGTTCATATTGTACCATTTTTTGACCACATGCATGTTACCTATTCCGAAAATAAAATTGGAATAAAATAATTATATTTCTGTCCTTTTTGGTGAGGAAGAAGTGATCATCTTGTTCAGTGCTGGATTTCTTTTTTTATTTTTGAGACGGAGTTTCGCTCTTGTTGCCCAGGCTGGAGTGCAATGGTGCAATCTTGGCTCACCGCAGTCTCTGCCTCCTGGTTTCAAGCGATTCTCCTGCCTCAGCCTCCCGAGTAGCTGGGATTACAGGCGTGCACCACCACACCTGCTAATTTTGTATTTCTAGTAGAGATGGGATTTCTCCATGTTGGTCAGGCTGGTCTCGAACTCGTGACCTCAGGTGATCCGCCCGCCTTGACCTCCTGAAGTGCTAGGATTACAGGCGTGAGCCACCGTGCCCAGCCCAGTGATGAATTTCTTATTTAGTAATTAAACAAGTATTTATTGGCAGACAGTCTTCCAGGTTCTAGATTGGAGTGACCAAACTCACTCCAAGGGTGTTGTGGATTTCTTGCTTCCACAGGTCAGGGCACCATTTTTCTCATCTCCCTTCATGTGTAGGGGTTAGAATCCAAGTCTCTAGCTTTAGGGGTGCCATTTCTAGGAACCAAGGATAATTCTACAGAATATATCTATGGCCTTTACCAACCTTCGTTCCATAGAGGGAACTTAATTTTTACTCTGTAGCGCTTCACTCAGGTTTACTAAGAGACACAGTCAGACTTGGCCTGTGGCATCATCTTAAAAGAGGGATGATCATAGCATCCAAACTTGCTGGGATGATAGATGCGTGCCACTGTGCCCAGCCTAACTTTTTTTCAGCTTGTGGGGAATGGGGGAGGGGTGTCGTCAAATCACTTGATTTGTCTATACTGACCACATGGACTTTGCAGTAGCCCCTCTATCCTCGGTTTTGCTTTCCAAGGTTTAGTCACCTGCAGTCAATTTTGGTCTGAAAATCTTTTTTTTTTTTTTTTTTTTTTTGAGACGGAGTCTCGCTCTGTCGCCCAGGCTGGAGTGCAGTGGCGTGATCTCGGCTCACTGCAAGCTCCGCCTCCCAGGGTGCCATGCCATTCTCACTTGCCTCAAGCCTCCCGACGCAGGCTGGGACTCAACAGCGCTCCGCCACCCACAGCTGGCCTAATTTTTATATTTTTAGTAAAAGAGACGGGTTCACTGTGTTAGTCAGGGTGGTCCTCAATCTCCTGACCTCGTGATCCACCCGCCTCGGCCTCCCAAAAGTGCCTGGGATTACAGGCGTGAGCCCACCGTGACCGGCCCTGAAAACTTAAGTGGAAAATCCAGCAAAAAAAATAAACAATTCATAAGTTTTCAATTGCAATGCCGTTAGGAGTATTAGGGGAAATCTCACATCCACCTGGGGCATGAAATCATCCCTTTGTCCAGCATCTCCAGCGCTGTGCGTGCTTTCCACCTGCTATGTTATTTCAGATAGACTGTTTTGGTATCATCAGTGCTAGTAACAGCCCCAAAAGCACCAAAGTAGTGATGCCGGCATGTGGTTGTGGCCTACTTTATTACTACTGTTGTTACTCTCTTACTGTGCCCAATTTGTAAATTAGCATTATCATAGGGTGTGTGTATAAGGAAACAAATGTATTCTAGGGGTTCAGTCCTCTCTGCGATTTCAGGCATCCACTGGGGGTCCTGGAACATATCTCCCTGAAGACAAGGATGGGTGGCCTGCATATTTTTTCTAAAGCTCGTGAGATAAAACATGCGTTAGTTTCCTCACATGGGCCAGCAACAGGAGAACTGTCCCTGACTAGGCTTGCTGGCCTCAGTGGCATGGGCATGTTTGTATATATCCATG